CTCCTAGTAGTGTAGGCTCTTTGTTTTTCTTTCAAAATAGGTAAAGCAGTATTTTCACCCAAAACCTTATATTTAGTTTTTTTTCGTTTTTTTTTTTTTTAAAAAACACACAAAAAACACCTTTCACATATATGAGCGGGCGAATAAAATTTTAATTTTTATCACATTTCAAAGTGGATTCATACACATACACGTACATACAAATAAATAGTATACAAGATATATGAGGATATGTGTGTGTGATACCTCAAGGTATATGAGGATATGTATGTATGTTACACTGTATTTTAGAACATACTTTTAACGAGCTTATATTGGAAGACGACCAAATGAAAAGTTTAAGCCACATGGGGCAAATTTTAACTTTCATTTAATTCATACGTATCGAGTGCCTTAACACAGCATCTTTCAATTGAACACAAATGGAAATTCACGCTCTGCTCGAGGCACAAGTTGCCAACCATGTCAATACGGCGATAGATTCTTGAAATTAGCCAGACGAACAAAAGGAACAACAAGATGTATTGCGCTGACGCCACGGAGTTACCCCCATTGATGCGCACCAAGGCTATAATGGTCCTGGGAGTCATGGGGAGTGAAGGTTTTGTCTTACCACCCAACTATATTACTGCCTATATTAAGGTGCTTTTGGTAGTCAATCAGGATATAGCTGTCCCAGCAGGCCGTAGATGTTTAAGCAGTTCATATAACAGAGAACATTGCCCTGTGTTTCAGAAGGGAAATTTCGCGATCGTGTCACTCCAGCAGGTAGTCTGCTAGCTCTCCGTTTTGGACGATATTGCTTGGAAGACCAGCCAGCGGTACCACAAAACTGAAGACTCTGAAGGCCGTTATTGGGGACATATGGACGAACCTGAACAAGAACTAGCCGAAGCAATCCTGCTTTCGCTTCCAAAGCTACGTCGAGGTCAACATACTAAGGGAATTTTTACCCGGTTTTTAATATAGATTCATTTTTGTTAATATTACTGATTTTATATTAAAGGTCTTTTTTTTTAAAAATTAGACTAGTTAAACTCGTGACGTCTACAGTGAGGGTGTAATTAATTTTTTATCCGCCACAGTTATAGTGTTGATAATTGACTTCAGTGATCAGATTATTTACTCTATGAACTCCGTTTTCTGTATTTCTTGCATTTCTCAAGGCGCCAGTATTCTCATTCCTGCTCCTGTTGCGTTTTTCTTGAATTTCTTGTCGAAAACATCCTTCCGTTTGCATTTTCATATTTTCTCTTCTTGCATTAGCTTTTTCCTCTGTTTCATTTTGTCTTCTTTGCGCTGCCCACCTCATTTTACCCTCTTCTTCCGTTTCATTAATTCGCCTCACATCTCCTGGTTTATTGCTTCACGGCGTTCCCGCGATGCCGGTGAATATCTTTGACCATCAGTCTCCCGCCGTGCCTGTATCTGAACCACTGATAGACGTAATTGTTGCCTTCGTTTTCGCCCTCCTTCTAATCGCCTTTCTTCAATGGAATTTTCCATTTTATGCTGTTCACTCGACCAAATTTTCTTAAAATCGCAAAACAGTGTAAAATATAGGGAATTATTTAAATTTAATTCTATATTTATAGTGCAAGTTTGTTAAATCTTGGATACATGCATAGCTAAAATGTATTTAAATAATCAGTCAGTTATGTGCCATGCGTGATATACGCTTAGGCGATCATGTATCTTTCGATAGATGACTGACGAGAGATTTTTTTCCCCACAGTAGGTTGCCATTTCTTTCTGCGGTAGACCAGTTGCCATCCAATGCTATAGAACCCTGTATATTTACCCATAGCTGGGGGAAGAAGAAGAAGATTCATACCTTTCCCAAGTGTATTAGTACGTAATTGAATGTAATGGATTCGGCTGGAATTCGAACTCGGCTCTCCGATTTTTCAATCCGAGCCACTATCCATTACTCCACCGTGCCTCCCTAAATAATAATGAAAACTTGAAATTACACCTGTAATATTAATACTAATTTTCTCTTCATAGTTATTAAATTATATATTTAGTGTCTAAAAGTGTGTTGAATCTAGGGTACAATAATTCACATATTCAGATAAAATATAAAGTGATTGATGCTTTTTCTACGGCAACGTTAAGCCCCGTGTATATTTGTTTGAACGTAATCGTTATGTGTAAATAAATGCTTATTTCCGCTTGTATTTCACTGTCTTATTAGGCCTTCAGATGGGACAAGAAATATATACATACACATTGATAATTTTTATATGGTTTGATTGATGATCAATTTCTTTATCTAACGTTATCAAGAAAATATTATCCCCCTTTATGAAGAAAGTAGTTCCCTCCCTTTATGAAGTGGGACAAGAACATATAAATACACATTGATAATTATATGGTTTGATAATATATTTTTATATTGAATATCTTTATTACAATTTATTCGCAAGAACCTAGAGTACATTTTAAATACACTGACGGAAAATAAAATTGCAACATTGAATAAGTATTTTCCTTTAATTTCTGTCTAAATTTCTGGGACGACGAGTTACTTACATAAGGACTATTGTCTTCATCTCTATCACAACGCTTCGGCCATTTTGTACTTCATCCTTTATCTGGTGTATGTCTATCCGGGTAGGTTACCTGCTTGTAAATAAGGTAAATAATAATTCATTTTATTCTAGATTAAACATTAATAAACATATTGGCGTTGACCCCTACCTGCATGATCATGCGCTTCCGATCGTACAAGTGGTGAATGATGCCTTATTCCGCAACTCTTGCATATTTTGTGGCAATATAATGAGTTGTAGGTTGACTGAGGCATCGTCCCATACATGTTGAATAGGGGGACTAATCTAGTGATCTTGCTGGTTAGAGAAGTTGTCAAACATCACGCAAAACATGTTAAGTAGCACGAAGCAGACATAGAAAATAAACCACAGGAATTCCTACAAAAGTTAATGAAGGAAAGAGAAGAAAGGACTAAACATAAATTGCAAGAAGACAATGTATGGTTGTCAGCAAAAAGATCAGCTCAAAATGCGAATTACAATTTGGAAATAACAAAATCAAGCAAGTACAAATATTTAAATAACTGGGAAGTGTTTTAACAGAGGATGGAAAGTGCGACACCGAAACCTGAAGGCGCGTTGAGATAGCAAAAAATGCTTTCTACAAGCTAAGCAAAGTATTAAGAAACAAGAAAACTTCGTTAGAAACAACGAAAAAACTACTGAACTGTTATGTAATGCAAGTCCACCTATATGTCAGTGAATGCCAGCCAGTCTGAACAGTCTTTAAGTAACAAATATGGTTCTACAGAAGGATGCTGAGAATATCATGAAGTGAACATGAGAGTAAAACAAACAAAAAGAACACTTTTATTTAATATCAGAAAAGGCAGTTTAAATTTCAAGGGTACATAATGAGGAAAGAGGACTTGGAAAATTTGACACCCATAGTACATTGAAAATTGCACAGCCTATCTAACATGCTTGCGAAAATTTTTGCCAGAGCAGGGTTTAAGAGATGCATAGCAAAAAGACGAAATTTACTACAAAGGACAGTAAATTGTGGAGAGGCATGACCGCAATCGTCCTAAAGGGGGGCATGCTACATAGGAGAACATGAAATCGCCTTCCTGTCCCAGGAATGAATGCAGAAAGGTTTGGACAATTTTCTGGGCAATATTTTTTTTTTAAATAGATTTTTTAATTCGACATCATTATAGTTATAAGAAAAGAAATTTTTTCAATTCAATTGTAAAAAGAATGCCAGTACCTAACAAGACGCTGCTAACTTATTTACTTCTTGCCAATATTCATTTCGTTTGTCTCCAATTTCATTTTTTATTTCTTCCCTGATCTCATTGTAGGTTTTAAAGATAAATCTCCTTCAATATCAAATTATATAAAAAGAATAATATAGAAAAAGAAAGTTTTCAATATCTAACCATCTGTCATTAAATAATATACACATTATTCAGTATTCTGCAGTTTTAGTTCTAGAATAGAATAATTCTTTGTTTACTCTGTACGTGCATGAACCAGACTGCATTTCAGCGACGCTAATGCATAAAGGTTACTTTTATAGAAATCATTAGCGAGTCTTTGCACAAGGCTCAAAAACGTTTCTTTTATTTCTTTATTACCAGATGTCGCTAATCATACAAAAAATTAAATACTGAAAAGAAAAATAACAATAAATAGTAACTTTCGATTTTCCAACCTGATTGATTTTCAAGCAGATTGTTTTCATAAAATGAATATTATAAAAAAAAAAAAATAGTTCTTCATCTTGTATACAAGTTATTTGCAGTTACTTTATAATTATTTTTAAGAAATTGTTTTATAGGAAGATAGTAAACTAAAGTCAAGCTAAACTATTGCGAATATTTTCAATGAAATTGTATACTTTCTTAATTAGATGATTTTTTTTACTTCGATTTACATATTACTTAGTTCAGTCTGTTATGTGCCCTGCGTGGCAGATTTTTTCACGCAGTAAGTTGCCATTTCTTTCTGCGATAGACCAGTTGTCATTCAAGGCGTTAGAACTCGCTCTGTCTTGCTATTTATCCATATCTGGCGGGGGGGGAGAGAAAAGAAGAGGATTCATGCCTTTCCCAAGGGTATTAGCACGTAAATGAATGTAATGGCTTCAAGTGGAATTCGAACTCGGCTCTCCGATTCTTCAATCAGAGTCGCTATCTATTATTCCACCAAGAACCAATAACTTGAAATATTTAGTAATGTATGTACGTTAACCCTGTAGACGTTTTTACGGCTTATCAACCTATTGTAGGTTATTTAAAGCCAGAATGTTGTAGATTAGAAACATTTTTGGAGATGATAAATTTACTGATAAAAGTCCGACTAATTAATCCATGGTTGGGGGGTAGTTTTGTATTCATACCGTTCTGAAAGGTATTTGCGTATACAGTGAACCCGACTGGAATTGGCTCTCTGATTTCCAATTCCGAGCCGTTATCCATTATACCACCTGCACATCTAAACTTACAACACCTGATACTCCAAGCGGTCACTCATCTAGGTACTGACCAAGCTCAATGTTACTTAACTTTGGTGATCGTAGGAGAACCGATGTTTCAACGTGATGTGACCATAAACCTCTGTAGACTTCTGTATTGCTACTGTGGATTCCGTAGCAAATTTGTTTTTTGACAGGGTGGAATTGTTCGCAATCACACCTGACCGGTTTTAAATTTAGAGTTGATCTTTTAGACCAGTTGTCTTCGAAAGCGAGAGATCCTACTCTGTCCTGCTATTAACTCCTTCCATGGTGTATATACGTTTATATCGAAAGTGTTTTTTTCAGACACGGACGAATAAGCACGTCCAAAACATAACGTTCAAAAACCAGCTTCAGACTTGTTTATACGACGATCATGATTCCTTTTGATGCTTGAAACTAAGTCCAGTTGTCATCTCATACAATCATGAAGAGGTGTTATCCACAGCTCGGGTACTTCAAGTTTCTTAGTTACTTTATTAAACTAAGACAAAAATTCGTCTGAAAATTAAACTTTTTCCCAAAATAATTGCTGGGAAGGGGTTAACTCCTAGATGGAGAGGTTATAGATGAATTTCTAACTCTCCAAAAGTATTTGTTTGAAAGTAAACCCATAGGCCCCGGATGGAATTTGATTTCGGCACATCAAACCCACTATTCCTGTCATTTTTAATACACTACCCAGATAGTTCAATTTGTAAGCAAATATGTGGATATAGATCCGACAGTATGAAGAAAAATATGGAAAAACAAAAATCCGAATATGCAAGTATGCTGTTTTAATGTTGTTTCAATGTCGACGTCAGACGTTTCAGTCTTTAATATTTCACCTTTTCTGGCAAGATTAATGCTGGAAAAACGTACTTATAAATTTTAGATTAAAATAAAATTCTTTTTCATTTAAAATATATCCTATTTTAGGAATACGTTTTCACAATATCGCCCACGTGACGCCGACGTGATCGTATTGCGAAACGGAACGCTGATCTTAAAAATTTCAGTTATTCTGTTTTGATTAGTCTTATGTCTATCGTCTTTTCATGTTGACTTGAATATCGTCAAATTTTAATTATGTTTTAATAACTGTGTCCTGAAGAAGGTCTACTAGACCGAAACGTCTGACGTCGACATTGAAACAACATTAAAACAGCATACTTGCATATTCGGATTTTTGTTTTTCCATATTTTTCTTCATAGTTCAATTTATGTATCGGCCGGATTTCAACGTCCCTAAATCGAAACTTACAACTTTGGCTGTCTTTCTTATTGACGACCATATATTGTCTACTTATAATTAATGGTTGGTCCTTTTTCTCGCTTCCATTACTAACTTTTCTAAGCTATGTTTTGTTTACAGTTTTCTTCTGAATCATCTGCGTGCAAAAATCATGGAACAAAAATTACTTTGTGCTTGCATTAACTTCTAGACAAAAAATTCTCTATGACAATTTAAATATTTAGAAACTTTTTTCATAAGTTACGCTTGAAACTGATGCTCCAGAGAAATTACTCTCTCTGTGAAATCCATTTTTTCTTAGAATTTCAGTCGACTTCGTTTCATTTACTTCGGCCAAATATATTTGGGAAAAGTACGAATCTATCTTCTCCCGTCAGCTATGGGTTAAGTAGTACTTCCGTCTAGAAAAATGATTATTATCCAAACAAAAGTTAATGCAATATTCATTCGTAATAAAATTATTCTTACAATTCAAAAGGTTTTCACCTTAAATAACTTATGGCTTAAGGCATTTTGAATTAGAAATTATACGCCACCCTCAAATAGCTCTTACTATTTAATATTTAAGTGTCTGACTTTATATATTCCTATTCTCTTTGCCTTACCAAGTAGTCTCGTTTGTTGAAAACGTTTAAGTCTTTTTTTTTTTAGATTATAATAAGTTAAAGAATGCAACACGAAATAATATTGTTGAAAATATTCTAATTAAGAAATTAATTAAATTCTGTGTGTATCTGAAAATAATTAGGGTTGCCTGTGTGCACCTGGCTGCAATTTCCGGCCATAATGGACAGGAATACTTCATTTGAATACAAACATCCAACTGACGCATAAACATCCGAAAATCATCCGAAAAAATCGTTGGAGTTGTTATTAGAGGAAGACTGTGCTTGAAAATGATACGGTTGGGAGGGGAAACTGACTGAAGTCGCGACAATTAGTCCTACAATATTTATGGCTTTCCTTCAGGAAAAAGATAATCTCTTTTTACCGGGAAAAGAAGTCAGTTTCATTCATTTTACGAAATGATTACTTTGCTATGTGTAATCATTCAATTTTCTTTTTCCATTTCCATTTTATTAATGATGTCTTTTAATCAAAAGTTTCATTTGAAGAATTTTGTATTAAAATTCTAAAATCAAAATTCTAGTTTTAGTTGTTTAGGTAAGTTTAATTGAAAACTTATTCAAATTACTGACTACATACATAACCTTTCATTTTGGTGATCAATGAAAATGAAATTACTACTTTTGTGCTGACTGTGTATCAACCATGTATACGAAGCTTCTCTTAGCTTTGACTTCAAACTTGACTCTTATTATGAACTAGCAGATGAGCCCGGCGTTGCCCGGGGATATAACAGTAAGAGATAGATCAAGTATCCACCATCATAAAGGCTGAAAAATAAAATTGACAAAGATTATTGTTTAAGGTTGACGGACACGCATGTCTTAATTAGTCTTTTTTTTTTTTTTTTTTTTTTTACGAATTGGTCAAACTCAAACAAAAACATTGTTTTCAATAGTTATGAGTCTACCGATTGAATAGAATCTTATTATAAACAATTGCCTTGTAAATGGAATTTTTAAAGCATTCTGAATGTAAAAATAAAGAAAAAAGTGTGCAAGACAATAAGAAACACTACCTGCCCCCAAAAAGTGAAGTTTAGTTGAAATCGGTTGAAAAATGTAGGAAATCCGATCCCATATATAAACGAACACACACACTCACACACACAAACAAACCACCTGGGTTTTATAATAAGTATAACTCGATATGAGTTGTCCCCCTTTCATTCTGGCGATAGAATCGTGTTTTCAAATTGGTTTCGTGCAAAAACAATTGTGTTTTTCCAATTTTTGGCGCTGTCAGAACCACCACAAGGTAATTTTACGTAGTCCTGTGAAGTTTTGTTGAAATCGGTTGAAAAATGTAGGAAATCCGATCCAATATATAAACGTATACACACACACACACACACACACACACACACACACACACACACACACACACACACAATCTGCGTTTTATAATAAGTAAGATAATAAAGAAAAATGTATTAAATGAGACGGAACAGCGTGATATCAAACACTATCGATATTAACAAATATCATTTACGAGATTTACATTTATTTCGTCCACCGAGGTAGATTGTTCTTGTTCCACGCATCATGCCTCTACCAGATATCTCACTATCAGTTATTTCTCTTTAACTCAACTCTGCTGTAGCCAGGAACTGAACTCACAACTCCGGACCAAGTCACTGGATTACTTTAACCAACGCTTTTATCCTCTGGGCCATATGTCACCTGAAGAAGGCCGAAGCGTACAACAGCCGAAACGTCGTGAATATGGCAAAAAGATGAGAACAACAGTCCGAACAACGTAAATACTGTAAACAATTACAATACCCCATCTCAGAAATATAGACAGATATTAACAATTATTATATGTAATTAAATCTATTGTTACTGTATAAATTTATTACTTGTGTTATGAAAGTACTTCGTTATTTTTTAAAATAAATTTTTGTTAGTCTATCGTTTCTTTGCTGGTTCTCGGCTTCAGTTATAAAACACCGACTTCATATTCTAAAGTAATTTACAGTTTTTTTCACAAATCAAGTCTTGCGTAAGGGAGAGAATCTGTTTAGACCTCATGCTTACTTTTATATCCCATGACGACTTCTGTTTGTTCACAAGTCATTTGCAATATTTTCATTGTATTTCCGTTCCTACTCTCTCATACCTGTCTGTATTCTGAGTTAGATTGTTATAATCCCTTATATCATTTATTATCTTTTCTTGCATACATTGTTTTCATTACTGTAAGTTCTAAGAGCTTTCACTAAAGATTAAGTGACATCAAGTCTTCTCTATACACCAGCACTCTCCTCGGTATCCTTTTTGATTTTTAGTAATGCTAAGTTTGATTTTTAGTCGGTATTGTTTCAGTTCCAATACTTTTTGTTGTATGGAACCTCGAGACTATTCTATGCATATCATTATCCATGCGTTGCAAGGGTTAATTCCAGGTCCCATACTTTTCTAGGCAAGTGCTGATATTCTTAAAGTCTTTTTTACTGGTGTACAATTTTAAACTGATCTGGATTGGGTGATTCATATTACACCCTGAGCCCTTAGAAAAGGACAATTTTTTTTTCTGTTTTTCCATCCTTATAATAGAACGAACTTGATGCTTTTATATTAATTATGTAGAATTTTGCTCTTACATATTTTCTAGTTTGTACGTCTCGCATTAATTTGCCCGGACGTGTCTTTGTCATTTACACAGTTCATATATGGGCACATGACCGAATGGTTAGAACGTTTGCTTTCTGACCATAAGATCCGGGTTCGAATCACACCATGGTCGATTTTTCAGGAAGGTTACTTCTTAATGTTATCGGTCTGGAGGAGGCGACCCCAGCGTGCGGCACCTTTGGAAAATGCCTTGAAACCATATCACAGTTTGACCCAAGCCTTATGACTGAAAATGTGTAGACGGAACAAGTCATCGTGAACGAGGGTTTGAGAGTGCTAGCCTTGTTCGGAGTATTGATCACACTAGATAACGCGCACTCTTCCAGAAAATGTAACTAAAGTCTGCTAAACATACTTGCAGTATAAATCACAGGTGGGCTCTGTAGGTATTGAACAAACATAAATGTACCTGAGCAGGCATCTGCAACGGGAATTAGCTAGCCGCTCTAGTAGACAAGCATTCTCGGATACGAATTGCTACATCATTTAGAGAAGAACGCTTTTATATAAGTGTTATATTAGTTTAAGGATATAACATTACCATGAAATCTGTATGATTAGATCAATTATGTATTTGACTATAAATATTTTTAA